TCACGGCCGGATGAGGCCCGTGTGTCCCCCCCCCAGGCTGCCGTGGCATGGCTCTGCTCCACAGTGGCTTCCCTCCATCGTGCCCGGTGACAGCGCAGCAGCCGTCCCGGGGGATGCTTCACCTTCCCGAGGTGTCCCCACGCGCTGGGCAGGGATGCCACAAACCGGGGACACCACAACCGGCAGTTTCTGGACCCAGGATGAGCAATGCGCCCCCCGTCCCCAGCTTCCCTGGCTCAAAACTCCCCCGAGCAGCACCAGGAGAGCTCCCCAGCCTTGGGCAACCCCATCTCAGTGGCACGGCTGCCCAAGCGAGGTGGCACCGCAGCCCGGTGACCTGTCGGCTGCTCCAGTAGCTCCTGCAGGTCCCAGCTCCCTTCCCAGCAGGGCATCTCCATCTCGCCAGGCTCTTCCCGTCCACTCCACCTCCATGGCAGCCTCTGCCCCATTCACTCCAGCAGATCCTCCGCTCTCCCAGCCCTGCTGTTACAGAGCAGCCCGCACGCCCTGCCTGCAGCCTGGGGACAGACAGCTCATCCTCCGAAAACCACGGCCACGGGCAGAGGCAGCAGCCCAGGTGCCACGCGACGGGCACAGCCCTGCCATCTCCCACTGCCCTCCTGCCTTCGCTTGCCTTCAGCTGGCAGCACATCAACAGAGCTGCCCCTGCACCACGGCAGCCCGGGAGGTCACCCCTCGTCCCCAGGGGAGATCCCGGGATGGACAACCCCAGCTGGACGCTGCTGAGCAGGAGGACGAGCTTTCGGGGCCACCACTGCCAAGGCGAGGTCCGAGCACCCAGCCTGGTCCTGCCTGCAGGATGGCACTGCCTGGCTGCCATGGGGTCCTGGCCTGGGACCCCGGGGTTCAGGATGAGACCTCAGGGCACTGGGGACTCGCACAGTGCTGCATTCGGGTGAGGGAGTGAGGGTGCTGGGGATGATTTCTCCAAAGTGACTACAAAGACCTGGGGGATAACCACGGGGCAGGGAGGCACCTGGGACGTTAAGCACAGGGATGAGAAACAGGGATCATAGAATCATAGAATCACTAAGGTTGGAAAAGACCTCTAAGACCATCGAGTCCCACCGTCGACCCAACACCACCATGCCCACTACACCATGGCCCTAAGCGCCTCATCTACACGTCTTTTAAATACCTCCAGGGGTGGGGACTCCACCACTTCCCTGGGCAGCCTCTTCCAATGTTTAACCACTCTTTCAGTACAGACATTTTTCCACACGTCCAATCTAAACCTCCCCTGGCGCAACTTGAGGCCCTTTCCTCTCGTCCTACCGCTTGTTACTTGGGAGAAGAGACCGACCCCCACCTCGCTACAACCTCCTTGCAGGTGGTTGTAGAGAGCGAGGAGGTCTCCCCTCAGCCTCCTCTTCTCCAGACTAAACAACCCCAGTTCCCTCAGCCGCTCCTCAGAAGACTTCTTCTCCAGACCCCTCACCAGCCTCTTTGCCCTTCTCTGGACACGCTCCAGCACCTCGACGTCCTTCTTGGAGTGAGGGGCCCAAAACTGAACACAGTATTCGAGGTGCGGCCTCACCAGTGCCGAGTACAGGGGCACGATCGCTTCCCTACTCCTGCTGGCCACACTATTTCTGATACAGGCCAGGATGCCATTGGCCTTCTTGGCCGCCGGGGCACACTGCCGGCTCCTGTTCAGCCGGCTGTGGCGCAGCACCCCCAGGTCCTTTTCCGACAGGCGTTCACAGGATGAACCCGTGTATGAGGCCAGCGAGAGAAGGCAGGTCCCCGAGGCCGGGGAGAGCGAGGGCCGGGAGCAGCTTCCCGGGCAAGTGCAGGTGCTGGGGAACTGATCCGGCTCTAAGCCGCTCCTTGATCATTTTACCAATGTGTCAAACGCCGTAACGCCTGCCATGGCAGGGCCTGGCTTTGCTGACCCTGCCGGGCCCTTTCATCCCTCTGCCCTCTCTGCTCACACCGGGCTCTCTGATTTACTCATGATCCTAATAGGATTGGAGAGGCCGGGCCAGCTGGCGAGCTCGCCGGCCTCCCTCCCGCCGGCTGCGGGGATGGGTGGTCCACGCCACAGCAGCGGGATGCGGGTCCCCGCGCCGCAGCAGCCCTGCTGCCCTTCTGGTGACGCCAGCACCGGCACAGCTCCCTGCCGGCCCCGCGGGCGTGTTCAGCAGCCCAGCCGGACCAGCCCCGGGAACTTCATTTCGGGGGGACGGGTCCCATTTGCCCCTCGCTGGCCGCATCCCATGTTGGGGAGCACCCATCCCTGGCCACCCCACAGCCCAGCACGGGGTCACCCCCCGTGGCACAACCGGGCCCCCAGTGTCCCCCTTCCCTTGCCCAGCCCGTGCCCCGGCGCAGACGCTGGCGGTGCC